GAAGGTAAGTCCCTTACATGTAAGTAGCTCTGGTAAAGTCTTCTCATTTCTGCTAACTTTTGGAGTATAGCTTCGTAGTTTAGAAGTTTTAATTTTAATTGTCTTATTCCACTCTTGACATCTAAACGGTAACTATCCATGAGGTCAAGAGTAGCTTTGGTAGCTTTAAGTGGAGCTATCTGTTCCTTGACTCCTGCAATTTTGGTTGCAATTGTGATTTGAGCTCCTTCAAGTTCGCCGTCTATGTCGTTCTCAACGTCTTCAACTATGGCTTGAAACTCTTCATCGGTCCATTGAGATTGGTGTGGGACGAATTTAACTTGCTTCATTCAAAAAATGAAAAAAAATGTTTTTACTCAAAACGTTAAGGTTGACTGAACTGGTTGGATGTCGCCTTCACAGGTTATGTAGAACGGCTGACCCGAGAAGTGAAGGAGAGACTGAATTGCCAATTTCATATGGGGTAGGGGGTTCTCCTTGTTTGGTATTTTTATCCAAGGACGTTTGTTTAGGAACTTAACAAGAGTTTCTCTTTTGGCGTCCTTTATGTCGTCGAAAGGAGTGTTTTCTGGTATTTGAATTGGAATTCCAGTCGAAGTCTCGAGATTCAAGGCAGCCCTTCCAGAAATAGCGGTGAACTTGACCTTGGGCTTCATTACCCTGCGCAAGTACTGCTTAACAACTTCATTTATCTCTATAAGGTAAATTGCCTCGTCAAATCCTTCTGGTATTCCGAGTCCTTCCATCCGACAGGAAAATATTTTCCCGACAACTGGAAAAAATTTTCCGGACAAAGGGAAAAAATTTTCCCGACGACAGGAAGAACTCTTCCAGTTGTCCGTCCGTAAACCATTCAAATTTTCGAAAATTGAGAACTTTTTGGTCGAACTTCAGAAAAAGTTTTTCCTTCCGACAGAAAAAGTTTTTCCTTCCGACAGAAAAAGTTTTTCCTTCCGACAGAAAAATATTTTCCATCCCACAGGACACAAACGAATGTCCCACGTCCCACCAACCCAGTCCATTCCCGAACCAGAGGAACCGAAAGAACCACAACAGTCTCCTCAGCAACCTCAGTTCCAGCAAGTACCTCCGATTTACTACCAATTTCCACCTCAAGGTTACTACCCACCACAAGGCTTCCCGAACTACCCTCCTCAGCCTATGCCTTACTTCCCCAACCCTTGGATGTTCCAGCAAGCTCCACCCCAGCAATTCCAATCTCAATCCAAATCGAAGAGAGACCAAGAGTTCGAAGAAGGTCTGAACCGCTTACGCAAAGATTATGCCACAGCCCCTATGGAAGACGACAGGCTTTCAGTCTCTTCCCTCAAATCGACCGATTCGACTCGTACCACAGATTCGGTTCGTGACCGTGAAGACTACCTCAAGCAGTCTGAGAGACTCTTCATCCTACAATCATTTACAGTTGGAGCTCTCAAGAACATGCGCAATTACGAAGGTCAGACACCAGCTGGAGACCGCAAAACAGACGTACTCGCAAGAGCCGTCCAGCTCGTCAAAACAAAGACTGAGATAGTCGACTTCATTCTTGCAGCTTGCCCATACAAGTAAAAAAAATAAACAATTACGAGTTAAACTTTTTATTCTTTCTTTTCTGAGTTGTTTAGAGCTGGTTTCTCTTGTAGGAACCTTTCGTACTCTTCCATGGTCATGTAATTGCGAATTTGGTACGCAATTCCAGGTTCGTTGTTTTTGAACCTTACGTATGTAACGCTTCCATCCTCCTCAGGGAAGTAAGCTGCTAACATCTGACCAAGTTTTCTCGGTGACTCGGAGCTCATAAAAATGTCACTTTTTAAACGTTAAGTTTTTAGTCTTATTTTACCCTTTGTTTGTCAAGGTAGTATTGGAGCGCAATTTCTCCAAATTCTCTGTGTCGGAGTTCTTCAGCATTTTCCAAGGTGTACCTGGAGAACTCAAAGAAGTTGTCAAGAAGATACTGCCATGCTGCTCTTCTGAGTTCGTCGGTATTTTGGAAGTGTTGCACCTTCGAGTCTTCTGACATGAAAAAAATGACACTTTTTCATGAATTTCCTTAAGACAGAAAAAATAAAGTTAGTTTTATTTTTATTTATTTTTTTATTTTGTATGTAAGAACAGAAATGACAAACATTGAGTTTGAAACAGTTAAAAAGATAGACAATGACACCAAATTGGTTAGAATAGGTGATTTAAACGTAAGATACTCAAAGAAATACAACAAATATTCTTTGTCAGACATTTTATCTCCATCTGGAAAGAAAACATACCATTGGGTTGGAATTGCTTCAACTCAGAAAATTTTGACAAGAAATCCTGAGCTTATGATATCGGTAAGATTCTATGGAACTACAGCATATCTCATCGACAAAAGTCTTATACCAATAGTTTTGTTATGGATTGACCCAGTTGTTGGATATAACTTCATAACATATGGTTCATTCGATACGGAACGTTGCAGTGAAGGCTTACTTTACATCGTTCAGAAACCGAAGGACTTCAATACAAAAAGATATAAGATAGGAAGGACATATAATATAACTCAAAGATATGACAGTACAGTCAATAGAGTCAAGGTTGTGTTCGTTAATGATATGAGAGCTGCTGAAACAGAACTGCTTGAAGTTTTTGAGAAAATGTATGGTGCTCCCATAAAAGGTAAAGAAACGTTTGAAGTAGATGAGATAGATAAAGCTATAAAATTATTTGACGAAGTTGCTGAAAAATACATGTAAAGCGTTTATTTTTGGTCTTTTGTGAAAGTCAGAAAATAACGCTAATTTTTTATAAAATTTGACGAAGTGCAAATCTTCACTTCGTGTCATAATGTAAAAATAACGCTAATTTTTTATAAAATTTGACGAAGTGCAAATCTTCACTTCGTGTCATAATGTAAAAATAACGCTAATTTTTGACGAAGTGCAAATCTTCACTTCGTGTCATAATGTAAAAATAACGCTTACCATGTAAAACCGAGAGAAGAGATTCCGTATGAAAACAGTGAAGAACAGCGAGTACGTAAAAAAACGTAGTCGCCAAAACTCTATGAAAACAGTGAAGAACAGCGAGACCGACTTTTTTCTGGGTCGCCAAAACTCTATGAAAACAGTGAAAAATAACAGAGTATTTTGACAACTTCAAACAAGCAGGGTAGATGAACCATTTATTTTTCAAGCTTGACTTTTTACAATTTGAACTTTGTTTGCGTAGATATGAATTCTGAAAGAAGTATGAGGGTCTTGTATGACTTTATACTTCTCCCATAGTTCATATCTGTCAAACTTACCTGCCATGGACTCTTTCATAAGTTCCATGAAATCGTCTTCGGACAATCCGGGGAAAAGTATAATGTCAGTCAGTATTCTCTTTACATCCTTACTTAAACTCTTTGCTGTCTGTACACAAATGACAACTGAGATGTTAAAGTGTCTGAGCTTCTTAAGAATTCGACACATATCTTGTTCTCTATTCTTTAACAAAGGATGAGAGGCGAAATCATCTAAGATAAGAAGACATCTATGAGGGTATGTCTTCCAATCGTAAGATTGCAATTTCTTCGAAATGTATTCTATCTCTTTCTGTTTGTTTCTGAAGTGTTTCTTCTCTAATATTCTCTGCATTTCCTCATTTGGGTCTTTAAACTTAGAATTTATATACTCATTTATAGCATTATACTTCAAAACTCTTCTTTGGTACTTCTTTATCCAATCTAACAACTCAGTATCCTTTATACATACTAACTTAGACTTCTTTATAATATCTTTGAACGAATTGACGGTTTGGTCAAATTGACCAGAAGTACTACAAATACAACTAACTCATAGAATGGGTTCTTCTCATCTAGTTCTTGTTGTTGTGCAGCCATTTTAAGATAAGTGAAAGTCTTACCCGACCCAGGTGGTGCAATTAGACCTGTTATACCATTCTGAGCAAATAAGAACTTGTCATGTATAGGTTTTATCTGAGCATTTTCTAACTTCCTCTTGTTCTTGTTTAAAACATTCTCAAATTTTTGTCAATGTCAGCAAACTTTTTTTCTAACATATTTTTAGAAAAATTAAAATTTTTATCTTTTAGAAAATGTCTAGCGATTTCGCTATCTATATTCGAGACAAACTTTTCGACAGCAAAACATCTGTCGACCATAAAATCTTACATAGTGTAAACAAGAAAGGTGAATTTGTTCTAAAGTTCTGTTTCTGGGAATATGACAAGAACCATAAAACATTAAGCAGAGCAGTCTTAAAATTTGTCAATGACAGACTTGTTGACAGAGATGACGCCGATTGGAAAGATGAAGTCCAACAAAAGTTCTTAGAATGCAAAGAAGACACATGCGCTGTTCTTGAAGATGAAATAGAAAACAGAATAGAAGAGCTATTAAAGGACAAAGAACTTTTACAAAAATATGGTTCTGAGAATTTGACATAACTCCACCAGAAAAGAAGAAGAAAAAGAAAGAAAAGAAAGTAGAAGAAGAGAAGAAAGAACCTGAACCAGTTCCAGAGAAAAAGAAATTTGACATGTAAAAATAAAATTTTATTTTTAGAACATTTCTGGGTCAATGTCAATGTTCTCTTCCTCTTTAGGAGTAAACACTGGCTTAGACTCTAAAATCTTTTTACCCAATTTACCTTGAACTTCTACAACTTTAGACTCATAATATTCATAGTCGTCTGCTTTCTTTGGTTCATAAGGTATAACAAGTTTGTATGCTTTGCCTTCTTTAAGGTTTGAAACCTTCTGTCAAAACTTTCTTTGACTGCTAACAAACCTTCTATGTCTAAGTCTTCAAATTTCGCACCATTTTTAGTCACAATAGCAAACTTAACTGGTTCGATGTTCCAAACTTTGCTGAATGAAGACTTTTCAAAATGGTAGAAGTAAACATTCAAATATGTGAATGGGTCTAGTTCTTCTTTAAGTCCTGACATGTACTTGTTTACTGAATGAATTTCGTCATCTTTTCTATCGGATAAAAAAATATTTTTTTTTAAAATTTACTCAGAAAAATTTTTCTTTGTATATACACCATTCTGAACATCTAAAAGACTTTTGACATTTGCCAAGAATGTACGTTTAGAAGCTGCCATATAACCATATTCTTGACAATATTGTTTATACGAATCGTACAATGACCTTTCATCTAAACACTCAAAGTCAGTTTCATCTATGAACAGTTCATATACACTCTTGTTTGCTTCTAACAATGTTTGTCTCTCTTCGGTATGTGGAATTTGTCTTGGATTGAACTTAGAAATATCTAATGTCATAAAATATGAGAACAAGTGGTTGTAAAAGTCAGATGTCAAAGTTTCTGCTAAGTCGTCAAAATATTCTGTATCTTGCATATGAGAATCTGACGTTCTGACAACTACATATCTTCTGTCAGAACTTTCTAACTTCATCGGAACAACATTGTTTGAAACCATAATGAAGTTTGCAAATTTTCACAAACTCTTTGGTCTTTATACTTTCTTTCAACAGCTCCAACTTTGTCTGTTATAAGACTCTTCAAAGCATCTGAGTTCAAAACTTTTGTTGTATCTATACTTTGAAGTTCATTGCAAACTATAAGTTTCATATTCTCTATTGAGGAGTTAAATTTACCGCAGATGTTTTCTAAGTTTGTCATATTAGGGTTCGAATAACCTTCTAACAGTTTGCATAAGATATCTGTAAGAATGTGTTTCTTACCTGTTCCTTGTTTTCCAATTATAATGAGAGCAGTTTCATTTTTAGCACTTGGATGTTGTAAGATATTTGCAAACCAACATAAGATATACTCATAAACTCTTTTCGTTTCCATTGCATATAATTTCTTTGACATGGTCTAACCAAGCTTCTATAATATTTTCTTTCCATTCTACTTGTTCATATTTATATCCAGTGAAGATAGAATAGAAGTTTGGAGAAGGTGTATAAAACTTTATACCACGAACTGAAAAATCTTCTAGTTTTGACAATAAGATATCCCAAGCATCTAACATCTTCATGCCAACTTGTACACTTTTATTTTCTTAAGTTTCTGTCTACATTCTTGTTCTGAAACTATTGTTGCTCTTGGTTTGTTAAAGACAACATCCCATTCTTTCATGACATAACATTCTGGGCAGAGTCAACATAAATGACTAAACGTTTCAAATTCTCGACTGCTTTGTTATAGTCTCTAAATGGACACATATTTCTGAATGCTTGGAAGTCATAAAAATCTGAAACATCTATTCTGTACATTTTTATAAAAATAAAAAAAATATTATTTTTTTATTCTTGACTTTGTTGTCCATTTGTTGCATT